TTGCTACTACATGAAGCTGTTGCTTAACCACTTGGTGCCCTAATTTCTCCACATATTGAATAAGCATAATAAATTAATAATAGCAAGTAAATAATATCAGCTCTGCTGTGAGAATCAAAATAAAGAGTACTGAAGTACTCGGTAGTGAATAAATTGCTTTACAATGATCATTTAGCATTTATATGTAATACTGCCTTGTAACATTCTCAGTTATCTTGTACACATAGATTTTCTCCTTTTAAGCCAGAAAATAAGTCTTTGAGAGGTGCACTGTGTAATATTTCTCTGTATCCTGTCCAATGTTCAGTCCTTTGGGACAAATACTATACATACAATGATCGTTTGAAAATTGTTTAATTTACCAAAAGTTGTTGAACTCCTTCACCATTAAGTAAACCGCATACACTTCAGACTTCATACACTGCACGATGGGTATTCCTCACCCACATTGGCAACAGTCTTTTAGAGTTTTGGCTAGGAGAGCTGTAATTGGCTATCTGAGCTCCTTGAGAGCACAGGTGGTATCTCATTCACCTTTGTTACTTCAGCACTTACCATAGTCATCTAAGCACAGAAGCACAGTTAATGTCTGAAGATAAATTAGCATGTTAATAAATTAATGAACTTTAAATACTTCCTTAATAGTACCTCCATTTAGTACTCTGCAATCTAAAAAGCCAATCTTTGTTTGATTTTACTTAAATTGATTTTTAATCTTCCAGCATCATATAAACATTTTAAAAGCAGACTCGTCTAATAAGTCACGTGATTTCCCCACACTCTTCCCTTAGTTAGCCCAAGCAAGTTCTTACTCAAAGATCATTAAGCAGATTAGGCTGCAGGAGTGTCGGTGGTAAGGACTGGGACAGCTCTTGGTCTGAAAGGAGGGAAAATTGTACTGATTGTTCAGAATACGACACTACTCTACATATGTGAACAGTCAAGGTAAAATATAGCAGATGAATAAAGTGCTTCTGTCTAGGAGAACTATAAACTTTGGCAGGAACCACTGTGCTGCAGCAGTGAAAGGCCTCCTGCTGGGGCTGCAATGGAAAAAGTGACCTCAGAATTCAGAGAGGAATTCAGAACTAAAATGCTCAGAAAGATGAAATATCATGAAGTTTTGGTTAAGTCACTTGGTTCCAGGAATATAAAAGTGTAAAGCTGTTTCAGTTTTTTAAAAAACTGCAGATTACGTGAACTTTGTAGATTAGTATTCTATTCTAGTTGTAGCTTAGAATTCCAAAGTGCCTCCACCCTCATGTTCTTCACAAGAGATCTGTGGTGTTTAAGAACACATTCTCCTAGAGAGGCCCAGGCAAGGAAGCAAAATAAGTCAGTCTGGAGTCATTGGACCTAGATCACTCAGCGTTCTACTAAGGCGTCCCAGTGCAGAGAGTGCACTCACTAGGGACCCCAAAATACACAGGCAAAGACAGGACTAGAGAGGAATCATTGCACACCCTTTCCCCCATCCTGCTCCCATCTAGAGAGGGCTTCCCTTTAACGGAAAAGTTTATAGGTATAACAGCAGCAGTTTATCTCTCACCACTGGGATTTAGCCAGTTCAATGAGTGTTTCAGAGCTGGGATCTGTTGCTAGGTGATCTGCTCTTGAAATTTTATCTAATATATTGGGCTTTTGCAAGGAAAAAATGAAATGCATCATGGCATATGGATATGAACAAAACCATAATCTAGGAAAAAACACCCACCCACCCCGGCCCCAAACAAGCTTTGATTTTTTGTTTTCTGGGGTTTTTTTTGTGGTACGCCAGCCTCTCACTGTTGTGGCCTCTCCCGTTGCGGAGCACAGGCTCCGGACGCGCAGGCTCAGCGGCCATGGCTCACGGTCCCAGCCACTCCACGGCATGTGGGATCTTCCTGGACCGGGGCACGAACCCGTGTCCTATGCATCGGCAGGTGGACTCTCAACCACTGCGCCACCAGGGAAGCCCCAAGCTTTGATTTTTAAATATAGATTTATATTTTGAGTAAAGCATGAATCAAGTCACATATTTAATGTCAGTAGACAGCGTAATTTTAGAGTCATGCCAGAAAGAAAAAGGGAGGGGGGTATGAGCACATAAAACTTATTTATATTTTTATTTATGCTATTTCCCACAGACTGAAAATAAACTTTCAAGAGCACCACTTCTCAAGTTAATTCATTCCTGAAGTCTGAAAATTTTGTGCTTATTTAGCAGTGCCCTCTGGTGTCCAAATGGATCATTTTAGTTTGCCTTCAGGCAAAAAGTAAACCATTAAACAAGTCTACAATCAGCATTCATTCATTCACCAAATATTTATTGAGCACTTTGTATATGCCAGTTTGTGGAAGGTGGTGGGATACACAGATGTATAAAAAAAGACACAGTTTGTTATGACTTATATGTGGAATCTATAAAATGAACTAGTGAATATTTAACAAAACAGAAACAGACTCAGATACAGAGAACAGACTAGTGGTTACCAGTGGGGAGAGGGAAGGAGGGAGGGGCAAAACAGGGGTAGGGGATTAATAAAATAAACATGTAAAATAAATATGCAACAAGAATACATGTACAGCACAAGGAAATATAGCCATCATGCTGTAATAACTTTAAATGGAGTATAATCTATAAAAATATTGAATCACTATGTTGTACACCTGAAACTACAGATAAAATATAATACTGCAGATCAACTATACTTCAATTAAAAAACATTTTTAAAGATACAGTTCTTTGTTCTGTTCTTAAGGAGCCCATAGTCTAACAAGAAAGACAAGTGTAAATGCAATTACAAAGTTACTTGATCACGCAAAAGAAATCACTTTACCTATTTTTCACTAAAATGAGACTGACAGAGCCGGGTCATCTCCATTTCCAAACTGTTCTGGACCATTACTCACACTAGCAGGTATCTGGCTGGCTTTTGACAGAACTTCGGTCCAGTACACAGGGAACATTCTGAAAAAGAGTAGACATCCCAGGATATACAGTGAGATTAAGACCTAGTTTTAAAGATTTCTGTAAGAAAGCTCCTTTCACAGTCAAGACACTTCTGGTCTTGTAGTTACAGAGGGGCCCACTGGTCACCAGATCTGACACACAAATCTAACATTCATTAAGCCTTACATTTCTTTCTGAAAATGAAGACTTTTTCTAGCACTGTAATGAAAGCCCTCAAAAGGAATCAAATGGCAGAGACGCTAAGAACTGATCATAAACTGTTTTAGGATCCTTAGATCTGCAAATTGCTGACTAGGGTTACAGAAACCCATATTGTTCTGAATTGGTGCATCTTCGGGCCTTCTGGGGAAGCAGAGGGAGTCTGAAGGAGTTGGCAAGACCTTCCATCAAGAAGGAAAGTAAAATTCAAAAAATATCAAAGGAAAGGAGTTCAGGAACTACTATAGATCAAGAATGATGCTTTATACAATTTTGTAATTTTCCTACTTTTGGTCATTTTTCCATTCTTGTAATTGTTGTTTTCCCACGTAATTAGCCGTGACTTGCTCCTAACCAACAGAATATGGCAACGGTGACAGGATGTACATGACTACATTACACGGTATTAGGAGGTCCATCCTGCTGACTCTCTCTCCCTCACTGGCTTTGAGGAAACAACCAGTTGTGCGGGCAAGGCTCATGTGGCAAAGAGGGTGGCCTCTTACCAAGAGCCCACTAAACTGAAATCCTCAGTACAAGTGCCCACAGAGAACAGAAAGCTGCTATCAACCACATGAGTGAAAAAGCAGGTTTTTCCCCAGTGAAGCCTCAGATGACACTGCAGCCCTGGCCAACACCTTGACTGCAACCTTACAAAGGACCCAAATTTGAGATATTAAATGTGTGCTATTTTAAGTTGCTAAGTTTGTGGTAATATTAGTATGCAACAACAGATAACTAATACAGATCTCAGGACACTTTTTAATTTTAAAACATTTTTATTACAAAAGTAATACAAATAGAGAAAAACTAAAATATTGAAGAAAGACAAAGTCATCCATTTCCTGCCCTGTCATCCTATTATAACCAGTTAGTAATTTACTTTGTCATCTTTTTATTATATACTTGGTGTGTTATTTATAGCCATAGTCATACACATTCATATACTTTTGTATCTTGCTTTTTGTTACTAAATATTTTCTCATGTTTTTCAGTAATTACTAATTTTTAATGGGTACATAACACACCATTCATTAGCTATATATGTTCATTGACTATCTCCCCAGACCAGTGGTTGGCAAACTATGGCCCTGTATTTGCAAATAAGTTTTATTGGAATACAGCCATATCCATTCATTTAGATACTGTCTATGGTTATTTTTGTCCTACAATCAGCAGAGCTGAGAAGTTGTGAGAAAGCCTATATGACCTGAAAAGCCTAAAGTATTTCCTTTCTAACCCTTTCCAGAAAAATTTTGCTGACCCTTGCCTTAAAATTTTAAGTCATTTATAATTTGGATTATTATATGCCCCAAAATGTCACTTGAAACATCTTTGTGCATATAATTGTTTATACTTTAGGCAACTTAATTGGGAGGTATTAACAAAAGTGGAAAAACTGGGTTTACTTAAGAAAGATGTTTTTAAGGTTAACACTGTCCCCTAATATCTCTCTTGTAATATTCTAGCTATGATACAGTACAGGTGGTGGTAATAAGAACGGAAGAAAAAGACCCAGTACTCTTGTAGGTAGCAATTCTCTGGTCCCTATTAATCTAGACATGTAATTTTACACTGTGGATGAGCATATTTTTAGTTTTGATTTAAAGTCAACCAAAGAGGGAAGTGACAGTAATTGCAACATGAAAAAACCAAAGAATACTTTCTATTGGGGATGAAAAAGCAGACTAAACTAAACTCTCCAGGTGTCAAGGTGTACCTGAAATGCCACTCCAGGCTAGCTGTAGTGACCTAAAGGCACTGAGAGGGTTGAGTA